AGAGAGGAGGGGAGGGGAGGGTCACTAGCTATATCAGCCACACCCCAGGGCAAGAACCAGGCCCAGGAGTTATTGGAAAATGGAAAATAGAGTCTATTTTTTTTTTCCGAAACAGGGTTTCTCTGTGTAGCCCTGGCTGTCCTGGAACTCACTCTGTAGACCAGGCTGGCCTTGAACTCAGAAATCCACCTGCCTCTGCCTCCCAAGAGCTGGGATTAAAGGCATGTGCCACCACCGCCGGGCGAATCTATTTTTTTTAAAAAAGATTTATTTATTTTATGTATGTGAGTACACTGTCACTATCTTCAGACACACTAGAAGAAGACATCAGATGGTTGTGAGCCACCATGTGGTTGCTGGGAATTGAACTCAGGACCTCTGAAAGAGCAGCTGGTGCTCTTAACCTCTGAGCCATCTCTCCAGCTATGAAAAACGTTTTAAGTTAAAATAAATAAATAAAAAAAAATTGACTAGATTAGCAGGCCAGTAAAGTCCCAGGGAACTTCCAGTTTCTGCTGGGATTACAGGCATGTGCCTCATGCCCAGATATGTCTTTGCTTTTTGTTTTTTGTTTGTTTTTGTTTTTAACATGAACTCAGGTTCTCACAATTACATGGCAAGCACTTTACTGAGCCACTCCCCAGGTCTACAAACTGTTCAAGGAATGGGCAGTGTGAGGGGCTCAGTCCTTGGGAATAAAGCAGTGTGGCCTCAAGTTCAGAGGAAGCCCATCCCAGCTTCGATGAACCCTACTCTTGTTTGCCTGGTGGGCTGTCCTTGGCTATCTTTGGCTATCCTTGGCTAGTTCTGGGTTCAGCATCTCAAGGATCAGGGAAGGGAAGAACATTCTTAATCTAATATCCTGCTAGGTTTTCAACACGGTTGATAAAGGATTTCAGGCCTCGAATTCAGACACGTGGTTGTTGTGGAGAATAAGAACGAAGGGGAGGGTGAGGCAGACAGGGGAGAGGGGAGAGAAGAAAGATGGGGGGAGGGGAGAGTGGAGGAGGAGAGGGAGAGACAGGAAGGAACGGTAATGGGGTGGGAGGGGGAGCAGGGGAGTTTCCCAGAGCTGCTATTTATGGAACCCTGACCTCTCCTCTCATCTCTGTCTGGGGTCCTCTCTCCATTGTCTTACTAGCTGTTATGAGCTCTTATAGATATGGACAGACAGACAGACAATCTGAGAATCTGCAATGCTAGAGAAGGGTTTCCAAGGCTAGAGCACCACCTTGTGGTATTTGTTTTGTTGTTGTTTGGTGGGTTAATTTGCCCTTTCAACACAGGGTTTCTCCCTATAACCCTGGCTGTCCTAGAACTTGTTCTGTAGACCAGGCTGACCTCAAACACACTGAGATCTGTCTGCCCCTGCCTCCTGAGTGTTGGGATTAGAGTCCTGTGCCACCAAAGGACTTGTGATACTAATAGTTTCACTGAAGCCACCCAAACAGTGACTTCCTCTAGCTCCAGTCTGCCCTGTAAGTCTCTTCTCCCTCCTCCCTTCCAGGATGAGGCTGAGCTACCTCCTTGTTGCCTGTAAGCTGCCTGGGTGGTAGTGGTAGAGGGGCTTAAAAATCTGCATGTTTGACTCAGTGTCCAGAGGAAAGAAGGCTGCTGGCACTCTGTGATTGTTTGAGGTGGGTTTACCCAGAGTCCTGGACAGGAAATTGTTCCTGGAGCCCAGGACAACTCAGAGGGTTAGACTTCCCTGAATCACATGCAGCCACGCCCTCCTTCTTTAGGTCCCTGCCTCCTTGCTAAAGACCTATATCCAGTTGACATTTAACAGTGGTGTTCCATCCTCCAATTGGAGGATCCAAGGAGGTGACACTGAGGGGCCCTTGTGCAGGCAAGTGTAGGGTGTTTCTGCTCAGCATGGTACCTATATGACCCTTCACAGCCACCCCCGGGGTGGCTTCCTCCCATGATTTTTTTTTAAACCTCTGAGTCAGGGAAAGTTTTGCTACTGTCTGAGCTCCCTGCCTTTGTCCCTGATACTGTGCTGAACAGGGGGCTACAACCTATGCCCCAAACCATATCCAGCAACTGGTCCTTAATTAAACCGAGCAAGCAGAAAAAGGAGATTTAGTGAATGTGGTCACATTAGGAACCAAGGGACAAAGAGGGACAAAGAGGGACAAAGAGGGACAAAGAGGGACAAAGAGATCCAGTGTCCCCCCAAGTCTGTCTTCTGGGGTCCTAACGTGAGATTAAAGTTTAAATAGGTGGCTGAGGATATGCACGTCTAAGCAGGTTATGATCTTCAAGTTCAAACCAATACTTGTCAACTCAGAGGATCAGGAGAGAGCCTTTTGGCCTGCTTGCCCTCCCTCCCTCCCTCCCTCCCTCCCTCCCTCCCTCCCTCCTTCCCTCCCTCCCTCCCACCTTCCTTCCCTCCTTCCCTCCCTCTCTCCCTCCTTCCCTCCTGTCTCTTTGACTTTCATTTTTCTTCTGCTTTGTCCACAGCAAACATTTAGGCCTGTGTGGGTCCCGTAATGTCTATCTGTCATCTCCCTTTGGGTCCTTAGGTCCACCCCCTCCCCCTCCCCAGCTTCCCAGGACACAGAAGTTGGTTTATTCCAGAAGGATCCAGAGCCTCTCCAGCCATTCTCTACAAATCCCAGCCAGGACCCTGCACTACACACACACTCAGGGGGGTTAGTCTCCTCTAGATCTAGACAGGGTCCGCATATTTATTCTGGTTCATAAAATGCCTGATCTATGTAGCTATGTGTGATGTGTGTATGTGTGTTCTCTCTCTCTCTCTCTCTCTCTCTCTCTCTCTCTCTCTCTCTCTCTCTCTGTGTGTGTGTGTGTGTGTGTAGCTGTTAAGAGCCCACAGATTGCTGACAAATGAATCATCAGTTGGGGTAAGCGTTGGGAGACACTGCCCATAAATAAGACACCAGTCCCTGACCATTCTGTAGCCGGTCAGCACATGATCCCAGACACCCCAGAGGCCGGTGGCTGGGGCTGGGGGGCTGGTTGTCGTTCTCCTCAAACACCCGTACCTCTCACAGCTATTTCTAGCTTGCCTGGAGTCTCTGAAACTTAAGGCTGAAATGTGTGGAATCAGATGAGAATAAAAGGCAGGAGAGGGGACTAAAGGGGATTCTGAGACGGTTTCTAAGGATCACAGTAGGATTTTACTCCGGCAGGCTTGGAGATCCATTCACTGTACAGATACTTTTGAGAATCTGCATGTCCCTGCCCCAGGAGCTAGAACACCATGAGGAATGTGGCTGGTCAACTCTCCCCTCAGCAAGCTTATTCTCTAACGGGAGAAGCAGACTCTAACCAAGCAGAAAAGGCTACTTTTAGGCAAAGTCATAGAAAAGCTAAGAAGAGAAGGGGATGATCCCATGGAGAATGAGAGCGAGAGAGGCAGAGACGCTTAACTGAGATGAGCTGTGCCTGAGTGTTGAGGACTGGTCCTATGGAGACTTGTAGGAACAAACTTCTAGGAAAGGATGGAGGTGATGCCTGTGTCCCACTCAGGATCCAGGACTCTAGATTTGAGTTAGGGAAGTCCGATTAGAGAGTGAGGGATGGGCTCGACAAGCAGCAAGGGTGGTGAAAGTGGGATGGACGGACTGCCTCCCCCCACCCCACCCCCATACACTGGGAGAAAGAACAGCCCCAGATCCAAGCCGGAGAGTGACTTCCTGGTTCCCTCCTGCTGGTTGCAGTGCAGAGCTACACCTATGGAAGAGTCACGTGAACAGGACATTTACAGAATGCCCCCTTCCTCGAGGAAGCCACCTTGGTCTACCATAAGCCATACTACTCCTGCCCCCCACCCCACCCCCGCCCCAATCTCTTAGTTTTTCAGCTGACAGATTAATTCAGCTTGGAACCGGTCTCTCTGTCGTGGTTTGTACCTGAATTGGGTTGGTCCCATAAGCTTGGTTCTGGTCTTGTGGTTCTCCGTTCTTGAGCATGCAAAGGTCCTAAGTCAGGTAATGGGTCTGACTGGGGTTCTGATTGGAAGTTCCAACCAGCGCAAAGGGGAGGCGACTGTATTCCTTATCTCAGTTGTCTTGATCCATTATCCACTCACTCCTGAGCGTTTTAACCTGAGCCAGGCCCTGTATCCCGTGCTAGGGAGCCTCCATTAGGTCTACCTCGCCACGCCCTGGCATCGGGGCTCCCAGCGTCGTGGCGGTCCTCTTCCTCTTGTTTCCAGGTTCTATGTCCCAGAACAGGAAAGACGCTCAACCTCCGGAGCCCCCAACTATTCCTGACGTCAGGTCCCGAGCGGTGCCGCCCCCAACCTCCCCTCACCCCGCATCCCGCGCGCCTTCGAGAACTTATAGGCAGCGGGAACGCGGCGCGCCCCGGGGCCCACATCTGGCAGAGCGGGCGCGCGCGTGTCACTAAGACGCTCATTCACCGGCGCAGCTGTCGCCATAACAACCGGAGCCCGGGAGTCCTGGCGACGCTAGGGCGGGGGTTGGGGGCGGCGGCCTCGGGAGGGACCCGGCGGGAGCGGGGGCGGTCCACACGAGCCGGGCGCTGCAAGCTCACCCGCGGGCGTGAGGGCGCCACGCACGTCGCCGCGGCCGTCCCCGCGGGCGGGGACCGAGCCAGCCGCCGAGCCTCCGAGCAGCCGCGCGCCGAGTCCCGACTCTATGGCCCGCGGGGAGCGCGCCGCCGCTGCGCCGCCCACCCGCAGCCGGAATCCGAGCTCCAGCACCAGGCAGAGCGCAGAGGCGCGCGCCGCGGGCCGGGGCCCAGGGGCCGGGCCGCCCCGGGCGCGGGGCATGGGAGCCCGGTAGCCGGGTGGCGCGAGGACCCCCGCGGCGGGCAGGACCCGCCGAGCGAAGACCGCCAAGCCCGGGGAGAGCCGGAGTCAGCGAACCGCCCGCCCCCGGCCGCAGCCCCGCCAGAGCCCTCCCCCGGCGGCGCGCACCCGAGCGCGCACACACTTGCACACCTTTCCTCCGCTCCTGCCCAGCCTCGCCTGGCCCCCGCTGGAGCACCCCCGGGGGGCCGATGCCATGGGTAACAACTTCTCCAGTGTCTCCTCTCTGCAGCGAGGAAACCCGAGCCGCGCTTCGCGGGGCCACCCCCAGAACCTCAAAGGTAGGTTTGGCCGGCCGGGGTGCAGTTGCAGGGAGGGCTGCGGCCAGGTGGAGTGGTGGGCAGAGGTGCGGTTGGGGACGACCGGCAGGTGCCACCTGTTGTGTGCATTTGGACGGCGGGAGAGGCGCTTCTGTCAGTGGAGGTGGGCTGAGGTGGCAGCTGACCCGGTGCTGATGGTGGAGACGAGGGAGGATGGCGGTCGGTGGGGGTCTGCGCAGTTCTCCCTGTCTGCCCTGGCAACGTCACTGGAGACCCCTCCAGTGATGTTAAGCAGTGAGAAGAGGTGAGAAAGACATTTGAGGGCTGGATAGGGCAGTGTGGAGGGAAACCTAGGTTCTCCAGGTGAGCCTCGCAAGTCATCTTGGTCTTCTTTGCATCTGCCTAGGGCTGGGGGAGATCCCGCTGGAAGCACTAGTTGCGTTTCCAAGCAGAGGGTCTTAGAGATCCAGGACTAATAGGGCAGGAGCGTGCTCCCGGGGTTCTTTTTGCAGTGGGTGATCTTTTGCACCGACTGAGTCAGGTTGGGTGTTTGTTTGTTTGTTTGTTGTTTTGTTTTTAGTGCATCCAAAGACAAAATATCTTGCCTGAACTCTAGAGAGAGGGGCAGGTAGCTTCCAAATGGATGGACCTTTAGCGGGGAAGGTTTGCTGTCTATGGCTCACCATCCATCCAACGTCCTCTGGGGGAGGCCCTAGGCTCAGCCCCCGGCCTTCCAGCTTCCAACATGTCTCTGACCTTTGGAAGATGCTGTTTGGTTTCCTAGGCGCCGGAATCTAGCTAATTCTGCCTGGAAAGCTGATTTTTTTCATCATTATCAGAGACAGGTTGCAGTTAGTTCTAGGGGCACAGTGATAGCTAACAGTCCCAGGGCTTTCTAAACAGTAACAACAACAACAACAACAACAAACCAAAACACCATAACAGGAAACAAAACAACTTAACTTCCTCAGTATCCCCGGATATGACTGTGGTAGTAAGAGTACCCTTTAACCCAGAGCCTTGGTGTTTACGGAGAATGTTCACAGGCCTCTTTTCAGGGACAGACGCTTCTCAGGTTAGTCAGCAGAGCAGCAGTAACCATATTCATTTTACAGGTGAGGGGAGCTGAGGCTTGTGTGTTAGAAACAGACTTCAGACCCTAGAGGCTTGGAACTCTTGTCTGTTCTTGCTAGGCAGTTAGCTTCAAGATGGAGAAGTGATGACAGTCCAGCATTCTAACCCCGTCTTTCAGAACTTCACCTCTACCCTGCTTAGGAAAATCAGTGGGCCTTGGTAGATTTATGGAAATTAATATGGCAACACATGCACAGGTCCCTTTAGAGTCATGTTTATTGACCTTGTAATTCCTCATAGAACTGATGGGAGGAAAGTGGAGATGCAGGTGGTACTTACAGCCGTCAGGATGCTCCTGACAGTATCACTTAGACTAAGAAAACTAAGTGCTTAGGAATCATGGTATTGCCGTCTGGGGGAGGATGTGCCATCACTAAGATTATATTTTCAAAGATTCTGATGACTTGGGGAAGTACTCACAGCGTAAGGACAGTTTGTAAAGCTACAAAGACTTTGTGACCCCCGTCCCCTCTGTGATTCCCATTTTGTTAAAAGGCAGTTATGTCAATAGTTTTTCGATAGGGAAAAAACAGTAATCACAAATAAATAAGAGCCAAGAAGGAATATTTCTTAAAGGTTCTGGGTAATGGGTCATATGGGATTTTCTTTTTTATTTATTTATGTTTTCTTTTTTTTAAATGTGTGTAATAAAAATAAGAAATAAGTTATTATTTTTAAGTCAAATATATATTATATATTATTATATATAATATGTTATATATAATATATGATTTATATATATATATATACATATATATATATGTATTATCCTGCTCACTCTCTCCCCTCTTTTACTTTCCTTCCATCCTTATGAGCCTCCTTCATCTCTACCTGTCCTTTTCTTAGTTTCATGATTTTTTATTTTGATGAGGTCCCCCCTTATTTTTAAGTCAAGGGCCATCTGTGTAACCAGTGGGTTGAGACTAGTGGACACACCACTGAAGGCAGTGACTCCCCTTTTCCCTGCATCTGTCTGTAGGAAACAGTTGAGTAGTGAGGGGTGGGGCCCTCAGAGTCCTTCCTCTGTCCTTGGCTGCCTGTGGATGGCCCATTTTTGTGCAGACCCTGTACAGTCATCTGTAGTTGCTGAGAGTTCCTGATTGCAATGACCATGTACTTCCCAGGATATGGTATTTCATAGCCCTCCCTGTGCTGAGCCTCTTAGAGTCTTTCTGTTCTGCTCCCTCTTCTAAACTGGGTTGGAATGATCACAAATATCTCCTTCAGGGCTGAGCTGTCGCCTATTCTCAGCACCTTGTGAAGCCTTAAATCTCTGACTTTAGCACAGATCACCAGAAATACTCTGGTTAAGGCTGTGTGGTAACTGTCTATGGGTATAAACATATATATTTAGAAGGTAGTCCAACATTGTCTTAGTTAGGGTTTTACTGCTGTGAACAGACACCATGACCAATGCAACTCTTATAAAAACAACGTTTAATTGGGACTGGCTTACAGGTTCAAAGGTTCAGTCCATTATCATCAAGTATGGCAGCATCCAGGCAGACATGGTGCATGGCAGCAGGTGGAGCTGAGAGTTCTACATCTTCATCTGAAGGCTGCTAGCAGAATCCTGGCTTCCAGGCAGTTAGATCAAGGGTATTAAAGACCACACCCACAGTGACACACCTACTCCAACAGGGCCACACCTCCTAATATTACCACTCCCTGGGCTGAGCATATACAAACACTATGTCACTTTAGCTAAACAACAGGACCCCTAGATTCTATGACTCTACCCACTATGAGCTTTGAGGATGTTTACAGTACCAAGTATAGATTCCCTTCTGTGGAGAGGGCCTCAAATCCAAGCATGAAGTGGTTGATTGCTTCTATAGCAGTTGTACCACTGTTGCCCAAGTGGGCGCCTCTTGCCCAGCAGTTTGGTTCCATAGGATGCACAGCTGTGTAAAACCATCGATAGCTTTTCCCCTCAAGGCAGCTCACACAGCACTTCCCGCACTATGAACGCTTGCCATGGGAAGAGGATTCCAGCTCAGTTCCAGCTTGATCTCTTTATTTCATGCAGCCAAGGTGTGAGGTACCTTCAGCAACGGGGTCTTACTGTCCAGTTCTGATAGACACTCAGGAGGGATAGCAAGAGCTTGTATCGTTTTGGGGACCTCTAAGGCTCCCTCCACCAACTCATAAGGGGTCATCCCACACTTGATATATATATATATATTTTTTTAGTTTTTTCGAGACAGGGTTTCTCTGTGTAGCCCTGGCTGTCCTGGAACTCACTCTGTAGACCAGGCTGGCCTCGAACTCAGAAATCCACCTGCCTCTGCCTCCCAAGTGCTGGGATTAAAGGCGTGCGCCACCACTGCCCAGCGATACCATTTTTTTTTTGTCTGATTTATAACCCACAGCTTCAAGGAGGAGCTTTCCCAGTCCTGTATGGTATCTCCCTTCCAACTTACAAAAGTTTGGTTATAAGATTATAGGTTTCCAATGGCCTTTTCATACCTGCATTATTTTAGTTGATCCTGCTACCCCCTCATCTCCATAGACCCTCTCCCTTTCCTATTTACCTCTCCCCCTTTCCTACTTTCCCCTCCCCCTTTCCTACTTCCCCCTCCC